CCACTTGTTCAAAACATAAAGGCGTCGTTAATGCGCCGTAAGAGCCAATTAATGCCATTCATCGAGCGGTGGCATGTGCTGTATAGCGTCTCCCGTGCATGTACAGCGCCCGCACATCGGGTAATGGCACCGATTTTGCGCTGGCAGCCTGGGCGGTAAATGGAGAAAGGGCACGGGAGAATGTGCAACCGGGAGCGACTGTGTCACCAGCTGTGGGGCTCTTTGTGCGAGTTTCTGAGACCTGGTAATTATCCAGCGTTACGTGCAGCAGCAAATCAGGGGGCTCGTCTGGCTGCAGGAGCCAGCGCGGCCCCGCGCCGCACAATGGCAGCAGCAGCAGCAGCTGCAGGCAGGGGAAATTAAACCCTGCGGCGTTCGGATAAAGCACATTCGCCGCGGAGTGACAAGGCACGGAAGGGGAGGGAAGGACGTGAGTTACCACCGGGACGTGACTGGTTGTGGAGAATAAATTGGGTTTTGGAAACACGCTTCCCGTGTTTGTGGGCCTGAATCTGCAACTGTCAGCCATCGGAATTCCCGCTCGGCCGAGGGCCCCTTCCTTATCGGCACTAATCCAGCGCGGCAGCTGCGGCGGCTCCGCGGCACTCGGTGCTCTCGGGGCTGCGCAGGGCCCCCGATAACCCCCTCCTGCCCGCAGCAGCCCCCCTGCGCTCCCGCACCCTGTATGGCCTGTGAGCCCTGTCCTCGGTCACTGCCTGGCAGCAGCAAACACAAACACGCAGAGCCCTGCGTGGGGCTGGGGAGGCAGCGTCCGATCGCCCTCCATGCTCCTGAGCCCCCTCACAGCCCCCTGTTCGCTCCCCAAATCCCTCTCCTCCTGGCATGAGGATCTATGGCCTCTCCTCGCCGCCGTAGGTGAGCGCAGGGACAAGTGTGGCTTCAAGCTCACGTCCCACCAGGGCCACTGGCCTGGTTGTAGGAATGCGCTGTAATTGCTATGCTAATTGGGGCAAATTAAAGTATGCTCTGGGTGAAGGGCACACCATTAACCTTGATGGAGAGATCGCAGCCCTCGTGCTGGCCCCGTTGCCTGCGGTGCAACCTTGGGACTGCGCCGAGATCCGTGTCAGGAGCAGAGGATGCAGAGGCGGTTGCGCATAGACCACAGCACCCTAGAAAAAGGATGTCTGTCTGTCTGTCTGCTCATGCCCTTCCTCTCCTTTGCACGTCTGAGCTGCCCTGTCCTAATAGAGCTGGGAGCAGCTATGGCCCCAGGTATTGTGGCCATGTCCCTGTGTCTTTCCCAGGGCCAGCTTGGCTCCTTCTCCCACCGTGCCCATAGCCCCCTGTGCCCCCCATCAGCCGCCCGGGTGCTGACCCTGCTTCTCCCCTCTCTCGCAGCAGCCATGGAGGCAGTGCTGATCTTCCTGTGCTCCCTGCTGGTGCCGGTGGCCGTGGCACACGGTAGGTGCCATTTGCTCCCGAGGAATGGGAACAGCCACCCCCCTACCTATGGGGGCTGGAATGGGGTGCAGGGAGGCTGGGGGGGCTCAGCCAGGGGTCTCACTCTCACCTCACACCCTTCATCTGCTTGTTTCCAGTGGCCACCGAGGAGAAGAAGGAGGAGGACCCCTTTAACTATGGTGAGCATCACTGGGGACGGGTGTGCTGGTGGGGACGGGTGTGCGTGGGCAATGGGGGACCAAGCCCCTCTGTCTCCTCCCTGCAGACTACCAGAGCCTGAGGATCGGGGGGCTGGTGTTTGCGGTGGTCCTGTTCACCCTGGGCATTCTCCTTATACTCAGTGAGTTGGGGACGGGCTTGCGGGCTGGGGCTGTGGGGAACGGCCGTGGCCCGTTCCCAGTCTGGCCATGCTAACGATGTCTCTCTCTCCTTGCAGGCAGGAAGTGCAGGTGCAGTTTCAACCAGCAGCCCAAGTAAGTGGGAGCATCCTCCTCGGAGAGCCCCCCGCAGCCTCCAGAGCATCCCTTTTGGGTTGAGGGGTGCTGGGCTGCAGCTTCCCGGGTGCTTGTGCTTTCTCAGTGTGCCCCAGTGCTCTGGGGCATCCCCTCAGGATGGGGTGCGGGTCCTTGGCCACTCTCACCGTGCTCCTCTCCTTGCAGAGCTCCAGGGGACGAGGAGGCCCAGGCTGAGACCCTGATCACCTCGAACGGTAAGGTGGCCTGTCCCTGTGGCTCTGCCACAGCTCCGGGCAGTGCATCCGGCTTCGGTCGGGTGCTGCAAATCCCTCTGCTCTTCCCTTTGCAGCGACGGGAGCACAGAAAGTGGAGAACTGAGCAAGAGCCATGTGGTGAGTCCTGGGGATGCCATGGGTGTCACAGTCATGGGGCTGGGAAGGAAGTGGGGGGACAGCCAGGGCTCTGAGTAGCCCGGTCTGCGGGGTTACGCAGTGCGGGGACCAGCACTGGTAGGGGCTGCGTCAGGGATAGAGGCAGCGCTGGCAAGGTCCTGGCTGTTCCGTGCTTGGCCAGCCCAACAGGAACAGGAAGCATCTGCCAGATTTTCCCTTGTGTGAGGCTTCCTCTCCCTGACGTGGTTTTATTTTTAGGGTCTCTAGAGAGCCAAGTGCGCGTCCCCTGGGGCGCCTGCTCCCCGCCTGCAGTCAGAGATCCCCGAGCCCCTGCGCTGTGGCCGTGTTTGAGGGGGGACACCCTGCCCCTGTGCTGACAGGAGGGTGGTTTGTGCTGCTGGGGGATGAGCCCCATGCATTTTAAGGCTGACTCGCTGCTCCCCTTCCCCCAGAGACCCCAGGAGACATGCTCGGACCACAGATGCCAGCGGCCTGCGAGGAAACTGAAACCGCAGCGACAGGGCCCTC